CTAACTGAGACTTAGTGAAGGGTGAATAAGAACTGATTTATTGGGAAAACACGTCATCTGTAAATACCTGGGGACTCAACAGGGAGAAGAATAAATCTGCGACATCCCTGGTGCCTTGGTATCTGTGCCTGAGCAGGTAATTAAATTAGCGGCCAGACACCTTGGCACCCGGACACTAAACACAATATAACAATCACCCCTCCAAAAAGTGCCCTGATTGCTGGTTCTGGGACCAAGTGCGCCCTACTTGAAGTTTTAGCAGATTGCTGCGACTCTGTGAGGGGGCAGGATGGAGAAGAGATGAAATGGGAGGGAGAGGGGGCAGGATGGAGGAGAGATAGAATTGGAGGGAGAGGGGGCAGGATGGAGGAGAGGGGGCAGGATGGAGGAAAGATAGAATTGGAAGGATAGGAGGCAGGATGGAGAAGAGATAGAATGGGAGGGAGAGGCAGGATGGGAGGAGAGATGGAATGAGAGGGAGAGGGGGCAGGATGGAGGAGAGGAATGGAGGAAAGATGGGAAGGATAGAGAGGGGAGGGGGCAGGATGGAGGAGAGATAGAAATGGGAGGGAGAGGGGGCAGGATGGAGAAGAGATAGAATGGGAGGGAGAGGGGGCAGGATGGAGGAGAGATAGAATGGGAGGGAGAGGGGGCAGGATGGAGGAGAGATAGAATGGGAGGGAAAGGGGGCAGGATGGAGGAGAGATAGAATGGGAGGGAAAGGGGGCAGGATTGAGGAGAGGGTAATTCCATGGAGCTGTAGTGGTTAATATATAGCTTATTACAGCCCATGTCTACCTAATGGTAAAGCACTTCCATGGCAACCAGCAGTTACTGTGTGTGATACTATGTATTCCTTGTGAATGGAGAGAGATGGTTTGGCAGTAAGAAGGCTCCTCTGGCAGGAGAGTTTTATATATCAGTCATTAACCCTTACCCTGCCTCTCAGTGCCTACTCAGAGTATACAGGATCACTCCAGTTTGTCAGTACTAGAGACAGCCTACCTGGGACAGGTGCAGGACTCACTCCCAGGACTCTAGCCAGCCAGTGATTCTAACCCCTCCCAGGGACAGCCTACCTTTGCCCAGGTAGGTAGAGTGCTCTCTCCCAGGACCATTCCCAGCAGTGTTTGTAACCCCTCCCAGGGACAGCCTACCTGGGGACAGGTGCGCGTCTCCCTCCCAGCCAGGAGTATAACACCTTGAGAGCCCAACCTACCTGGGGACAGGTGTATGTCCCAGAGCCAGCCTCCCATTCCCTGCCCGCTCCAGGATGGCACACACAGAGGCTGGGGAGCCCAGGCTGCCAGTATGGGTGATCACTGGCTCCCACTCCTGGACCAGCACAGCTCAACAGAAGGAAGTCAAGTCCCCCTTCGCAGTGGAGTGGAGACCTGAGGACGGGCTGGCCACTTTGTCCATGGACCCAGAGGGAGAAACTATAGATTTGGGAGAACCATCTCCCCCAGCTGCCCCCCAACAGGCTCCCTGCCCCCCAGCTGCCCCCCAACAGGCTCCCTGCCCCCCAGATGCCCCCCAGGAGGCTCCCTGCCCCCAGCTGCCCCCAGATCCCCCAGCTGGCTCCCCTGCCCCCAGCTGCCCCCCGATCCCCCAGCTGGCTCCCTGCCCCCCAGATGCCCCCCAGCAGGCTCCCTGCCCCCCAGCTGCCCCCCCGGATCCCCAGCTGGCTCCCTGCCCCCCAGTGAGTGACACTCCAGTGAGTGCCAGCTGCAGGGAGCACGGGCAGGAGCTGAGCTGGTTCTGCTATGAGGAGCTCAGGTTGGTGTGCCCCCTCTGCAGGAGCCTGGGGAGCTGCCAGTCACACAAGACCAGGCTGGCGGAGGAGAGGGCTGCTCACATCAGGGTGAGTGGGACTGCATTGCAGGGTCTGAGATCACTCACACTCAGTATGGGGTTAACTCGGGCTGCGGGAGCTGGGGGTTGAGTCACTGCTGCAGGATGACATGACTGGCTGGCACCCTCTGGGCTGTGAGGGTCATTAAGTAGGCTGTGAGTGGGCTGTAAGTGGAAGGGGTTTTAAGTGGTATACTTACTGACTGAGTAGGCTGTGAGTGGTGGTGCTGGGAGTGAGTGGGCTGTGAGTGGAGGTGTTGGGAGTGAGTTGGCAGTGAGTTGTATGTGCTGTGAGTGAGTGGGCTGTGAGTGGAGGTGATGTGAGTGGAGGTGCTATGAGTGAGTGGGCTGTGAGTGAGTGGACTGTGAGTGAGTGGAGGTACTGGGAGTGAGTGAGCGAGCTGTGAGTGGAGATGCTGTAAGTGAGTGGAAGTGCTGTGAGTGAGTGGGCCTTGAGTGAGTGGAGGTGCTGTAAGTGAGTGGGCTGTGAGTGGAGATGCTGAAAGTGAGTGGGCTGTGAGTGGAGGTGATGTGAGTGGAGGTGCTATGAGTGAGTGGGCTGTGAGTGAGTGGACTGTGAGTGAGTGGAGGTACTGGGAATGAGTGAGCTGTGAGTGGAGATGCTGTAAGTGAGTGGAAGTGCTATGAGTGAGTGGGCCTTGAGTGAGTGGAGGTGCTGTAAGTGAGTGGGCTGTGAGTGGAGGTGCTTAAAGTGAGTGCGTTGTGTGAGTGCAGGTGCTGTAAGTGGACTGTGAATGGAGAGAGAGATTCCTGTTTATTAATGAGAGCAGTGATTGAACTGACAGCAATGTCTGACATCTATTTCCTGTTCTGGTAATTATTGGCTGTAGTATTCATTATTCACACACAGATCTAATCAATTCACTGGGAAGAACCCATCATACATCATTTATATGGCATGTGTGGGCTGGCTATAATGTACTATCTATAGGGTGTAAGATATAATATAACTGTACTATCTATAGGGTGTGAGATATAATATAACTGTACTATCTATAGGGTGTGAGATATAATATAACTGTACTATCTATAGGGTGTGAGATATAATATAACTGTATTATCTATAGGGTGTAAGATATAATGTACTATCTATAGGGTGTAAGATATAATGTACTATCTATAGGGTGTAAGATATAATGTATTATATATAGGGTGAGAGATATAATGTATTATCTATAGGGTGTAAGATATAATATATAATGCACTGTCTATAGGGTGTAAGATATAATATAACTGTACTATCTATAGGGTGTAAGATATAATATAACTGTACTATCTATAGGGTGTGAGATATAATATAACTGTACTATCTATAGGGTGTAAGATATAATATAACTGTACTATCTATAGGGTGTGAGATATAATATAACTGTACTATCTATAGAGTGTGAGATATAATATAACTGTACTATCTATAGGGTGTGGGATATAATATAACTGTATTATCTATAGGGTGTAAGATATAATGTACTATCTATAGGGTGTAAGATATAATGTATTATATATAGGGTGAGAGATATAATGTATTATCTATAGGGTGTAAGATATAATATATAATGCACTGTCTATAGGGTGTAAGATATAATATAACTGTACTATCTATAGGGTGTAAGATATAATATAACTGTACTATCTATAGGGTGTGAGATATAATATAACTGTACTATCTATAGGGTGTAAGATATAATATAACTGTACTATCTATAGGGTGTGAGATATAATATAACTGTACTATCTATAGAGTGTGAGATATAATATAACTGTACTATCTATAGGGTGTAAGATATAATATAACTGTACTATCTATAGGGTGTGAGATATAATATAACTGTACTATCTATAGGGTGTGAGATATAATGTATTATCTATAGGGTGAGATATATACTGTACCATCTATAGGGTGTGAGATATACTGTATTATCTATAGGGTGAGAGATATAATGTATTATCTATAAGGTGTGAGATATAATATAACTGTACTATCTATAGGGTGTGAGATATAATATAACTGTACTATCTATAGGGTGTGAGATATAATATAACTGTACTATCTATAGAGTGTGAGATATAATATAACTGTACTATCTATAGGGTGTAAGATATAATATAAGTACTATCTATAGGGTGTAAGATATAATATAACTGTACTATCTATAGAGTGTGAGATATAATATAACTGTACTATCTATAGGGTGTGAGATATAATATAACTGTACTATCTATAGGGTGTGAGATATAATGTATTATCTATAGGGTGAGATATATAATGTACCATCTATAGGGTGTGAGATATACTGTATTATCTATAGGGTGAGAGATATAATGTATTATCTATAGGGTGTGAGATATACTGTATTATCTATAGGGTGTGAGATATAATGTATTATCTATAGGGTGAATGAGATATGTGTTCCATCTATAATTAATAATTAACTGTTGTTATTAAATGTATTCTATCACATATTTTATAATCATGAGTAATGCCTATTGGTGTGACTAATAAATAGATCTGTGTTTATTTGATGTATTGATAGGACTGCATTCCCATCATGCATTGCAGGTTAATGCCTAGGAGCCACTTGTTACCAGGGACCTCGGCAAACAATCACAATGTAAACAGTCATTTATTGTAACCTGTGAATTTGGGGCCGGGTCGTCTAAACAGCATTATAGGCCCCGGGCAAGCACTGTGGCCACGACCCACACAGCCACTCACAGGAATAAACAAGTGTAAATTATGGATAACATTAAGCTTATATTTAATGGTAGCTCCGACAAAAGCAGTGTTTAAACTTTACAAAACATGCTTATAGCTTTATGGCTTCAAAACACTATGAGTGGTAATTTTATCTTGCTTATGTACAATTAATAAGTGTATGTTGTTTTCATCAAGATCAATATATGCATACACAACAGTAAGATCCCATGTACAGATAACAGCTGATACTGAGGTGATTAGTCCACTTAAACGTCTTAATAACAAGGGTTTGAAGGTTCTGAATAAATCTCCTGGAATAATATACTGAAAAGTTGGCAAGCCCATGCGCACCTATGCTAGTGGGTCCCCCGGGCAATTACCCCGCTTGCCCATGTGTTAAGGCAGGCCTGCCAAGAGGCGGACACTGGCAGAGACTGAAACCTTGATTCAGTCTGACATTTGCTACAATCTATTCTCAGGTCAATAAAAGTTCAGTTTTTTAATGGAATTTATTATGCTCTGAACAGTTTGGGCACTGACCCTTCTACTGCACCCACAAGCACTACATATTAAAAAGATAGAAAATGAACATCCAATCAGGAGTAGGAGGTCCAATGCATGCTGGGTAATACCACATTGTACGCACAGAATACGAGGAGTGGGAATATTTTATTAACGTATCTTAAAATCTGCCAGAAACTTTAAAAAAACTCTCCAGGTTAACGTTACATTTCACGTCGTCATTTGTAAAATCTGATTATTTCGGGCATTTTACTCCGTAAACTGAGAATTGCAGACAATGGACAAAGGCTCTGCAACATTTCAAGGCCGGAATAACAAAACTAAAAATTATCCAACGCGGCTATTTTCAGCTGAGATTTTCAAGTTTACAATTTTTTATATTTCATCTTTTTTGGCCAAAACTTTGCCTTGTCGTTTCTCTACAATTCTCGGTTTAGTGATTAGTTCCAGATGTGCGCCAGCCATGGGGTCTGTATAGAACATAGCGGTCAGTTAATGTCCGTCCGGCCCTGACCAGAAAATTGATTACACATAATGAACGGCGTATGCCGGAGCGACAGGAGTGGCTGTTATAGAATAACCTGATGCTTGGAAGCAGTTACAATATAATAGCGCTGTATATCGCCATCTTGGCCGATCTTTCCTCTAACATGTAGGACAACGTTGAGGGTTTATCCACTAAGCAGCGAGCTGTGGTCAGATCACATCAAGGTTTTCAACGATTGAATAATCTTGTTGGAGAAAGATATCCATTTGAGCTATTCTGGAGGAGAGCTCTAATTTAGGTTAGATTAATTCCAGCCTCAGAGTATTCCAGTTCCTGCTATTTAGTAATAGGATTCTGCTACTTTGATAGTTGATACAATTTTGCTCCAAGAAAGTACTTCACTTTCAGCATTCAACTGTTTTTAGATGCTTCTATATATAAATATTTTTATAATTCATAATCTATTTATTTACACTTATTGGCATTGCACTTTATCCTTACTTGATAATCTGTATTATCTGTTTTTAGTTCCCAAATTTGGGCAGCACCCTTCCTGTATATTCCTACATATTTATTTTACGTTTACCAATTTTTACATGTTCTTGCGGCTTCTTTCTCACGATATATTTCCTGGATCTAGTAATCTTCTATTCACAATTTTTCAAGCCTTGATGGGGCCTTTTCATACCAGTAGAGATTTATATGAGTTAGCAGCTCCATTTCACTCTCAAAACTCTCCACTCAATTTGGTCAGATTAACTTCTGTCCATATTATTTCTATTACTCCCAGTAATGTGTCTGAGTGTATAACAGAGCTCCACAGTAATAATACTCCCAGTAATGTGTCTGAGTGTATAACAGAGCTCCACAGTAATAATACTCCCAGTAATGTGTGTGTGAGTGTATAACAGAGCTCCACAGCAATAATACTCCCAGTAATGTGTCTGAATGTATAACAGAGCTCCACAGTAATAATACTCCCAGTAATGTGTGTGTGAGTGTATAACAGAGCTCCACAGCAATAATACTCCCAGTAATGTGTCTGAGTGTATAACAGAGCTCCACAGCAATAATACTCCCAGTAATGTGTCTGAGTGTATAACAGAGCTCCACAGCAATAATATTCCCAGTAATGTGTCTGAGTGTATAACAGAGCTCCACAGCAATAATACTCCCAGTAATGTGTCTGAGTGTATAACAGAGCTCCACAGCAATAATACTCCCAGTAATGTGTCTGAGTGTATAACAGCGCTCCACAGAAATAATACTCCCAGTATTGTGTCTGAGAGTATAACAGAGCTCCACAGCAATAATACTCCCAGTAATGTGTCTGAGTGTATAACAAGAGCTCAACAGAAATAATACTCCCAGTATTGTGTCTGAGAGTATAACAGAGCTCCACAGCAATAATACTCCCAGTAATGTGTCTGAGTGTATAACAGAGCTCCACAGCAATAATACTCCCAGTAAAGTGTCTGAGTGTATAACAGAGCTCCACAGCAATAATACTCCCAGTAATGTGTCTGACTGTATAACAAAGCTCCACAGCAACAATACTCCCAGTAATGTGTCTGAGTGTATAACAGAGCTCCACAGCAATAATACTCCCAGTAATGTGTCTGAGTGTATAACAGAGCCCCACAGCAATAATACTCCCAGTAATGTGTCTGAGAGTATAACAGAGCTCCACAGCAATAATATTCCCAGTAATGTGTCTGAGTGTATAACAGAACTCCACAGCAATAATACTCCCAGTAATGTGTCTGTGTATCACAGAGCTCCACAGCAATAATACTCCCAGTAATGTGTCTAAGCATATCACAGAGCTCCACAGCAACAATACTCCCAGTAATGTGTCTGAGTGTATCACAGAGCTCCACAGCAATAATACTCCCAGTAATTTATTAGTGTATAACAGAGCTCCACAGTAATAATACTCCCAATAATGTGTCTGTATAACAGAGCTCCACAGCAATAATACTCCCAGTAATGTGTCTGAGTGTATAACAGAGCTCCACAGCAATAATACTCCCAGTAATGTGTCTGAGTGTATAACAGAGCTCCACAGCAATAATACTCCCAGTAATGTGTCTGAGTGTATAACAGAGCTCCACACAGTGGCGGATCCGGGGGGGGTGGGGCAACGGGGCAATTGCCCCCCCCGAGAAATTCGCCGGTCTCCCTCTTCCTCCTTTGTCAGCAGCACATGCAGGTGCTAGCCCTGCAATGTGCCTGCGGACCGGGGGGGAGATCAGAGATCTCCCCCCCGGTCCGCAGGCACTGTGATGGCGGCCAGCGGGGGAGGGAGTAAGAGAGAGGACCCGGAAGCTAAGGCTGCAGCTCCTCCGGGTCCTCCTCTCATGAGATTTGGAGCGTTGCCGCGGTTACCACGGCAACGCTCCAAATCTCGTGAGAGTGAACTCTAGCCCTGGAGCGCGGGCTAGAGTTCACTCTCCCCACTGGGACCACCAATGAATCCCCCACAGACGACGGACCACCAGGGAAATGTTCCCCCCCAAGTAAAGGTAAGAAGGGAGGGGGGACATAATGATTATTTATATTGAATTAAATAAAAAAATATATATAAAAAAAAGCCCCCTCCTACCCTTATCACACACACACACTCTACACACGCTGCCCCCCATACACACACTGCCCCCATACACACACTGCCCCCCATACACACACACACACTGCCCCCATACACACACATTGCCCCCATACACACACACTGCCCCTCATACACACACTCTACACACACACACCACCATACACACACACTGCCCCCATACACACACTCTACACACATACACCACCACACACACTGCCCCATACACACACACTGCCCCCATACACACACACACTGCTCCCCATACACACACACTGCACCCCATACACACACACTGCCCCACACACACACACTGCCCCCATACACACACACACACACACACTGCCCCATACACACACACACTACCCGACACACACACATACACTGCCCCCCATACACACACACTGCTCCCCATACACACACACTGCCGCCCCATACACACACACACACACACACACTGCAACTGTTACACACATACACTGCTGCCCTCACACACACTACAACCTTCACACACACTACTCACACACTGTCCCCCTCACACACACACTGCACCCCTTACACATTGCACCACTCACACACCACTGCTCCTATGCCCTACTACTGCCCCATTTCCCTGCAGACCTCAGGTAAGGTGTCAAACTGTTCTTAAACGGTTTGACTACTTACTCTGGGAGGGGGTCCCGGCACTATTGATACCATAACCACTACACTGAGCTGTAGTGGTTATTGTGTCTGGATTATTTATTTAAATAATCTACAAGTGCCCCTCCCGAGATCAGGCTCTGGATCCGCCACTGGCTCCACAGCAATAATACTCTCAGTAATGTCTCTGGCTGTATATCAGAGCTCCACCGCAATAATACTCCCAGTAATGTCTGAGTGAATAACTGAGCTCCACAGTAATAATACTCCCAGTAATGTGTCTGAGTGTATAACAGAGCTCCACAGCAATAATACTCCCAGTAATGTGTCTGAGTGTATAACAGAGCTTCACAGCAATAATACTCCCAGTAATGTGTCTGAATGTATAACAGAGCTCCACAGCAATAATACACCCAGTAATGTGTATTTAAACTGCAATAAATGTGTTTAAAAATCAGTCTGTGTAAATAAGATACATTGTTCTTCTTAAAAGTTACAATTTATTTCCATAAATTGTTATCAGTAAATGAACACTATAGTATTAATACAAATCTGTTTTCCGAACTCCATAGGTTTCCAGACCTACTCTGCAGGTGCCCATTCCATTTTGCCATAAAAATGAAATAAATAAATAACTACATATATATGTCTACTCTGTCTTTGGCTGCCCATGCTCGATTGTCCTCACTTTGTCTCTGGTTGCCCACAATCTGTCTCCGGTTATCCATGCTCTGTCTCTGCCTGCCCACACTCTGTCACTGACTGTCCACACTCTGTCTTTGGCTGCCCATGTCCTACCACTGACAGCCAGCCATACACTATGCTCCTATGATAATCTCTGCCCTGTAAGATTAGCTCAGTGACTCCCAATTAGGGCAGGACACATATTTTCAGAGAAAAGCTCTAAAGGTTCCTATTGCAGAATGTGATAACAAAGCATCCTTTTGTCTCTTACATCTGGGACAAACACAATAGGCCCTTTCTAATCTGAACCCAATGCCTGGATATTTGCTGGCCAAGGCAAAAGGGACTGTAGGAATTGGGTTACCTTTTGGCCAAAACTCTTCAAAAATGGTGAAAGCAGGGAATTACATGTAAATCTAATACCAAATGTAAGGAAACCTAGTATATCCAATCCTCATTCGGTAGTTTCCTCCAGAACCGCCAGAGCATCAGTGAGTATAGCTCTCCGTTCGGTAGATAGAATAGACGAAATCCATACAAATACAAATAGCTTTATAAGATAATTCCCTTAATAAAGCATACGAATCCCCAAACATCAGCTGAAGTCAAGAAGAAGGGTACAACAGAACTGGCTTTTAATGACCACACACAGGCTTTTATGCAAGTCCCCATGCAGTAAACCAGTAAAACACACCCAGCACAAACATACAATTCCCTCCCCTAGTCTTGGAGATAATCAAGTCTGATAAAGTAATAACTTGATTATCTCCAGGCAGAAAAATCACAATTTTCCCCAATATTCAGAACATCCCTTTAGACATGGGGTATCCCCACAAATAATATGTCCCCTGATAGCCCCGATCTGGGTGACCAACATATTCAAATTTCACCCAGATCGGTTCAGGGGTTCTCATAAACTATGGAAGTCTTTTGTGACCGGCTAACCGCGAGGTGGCTGCCCAAAATAGTTCCAGGAGTTTGGGTTGTTGTGCCGGTCTATTCAGTTAAGTGGCAAAAACTGAATAATTCCACAAATGGATTTCCCTGCCTCTTAGCAGCGATTGTTCCCCTTATTCAATGCACAAAAGTACTGAATAGCGCTCTTCTAGCTATTCGGGAAATAGAGATCCAGCGTTCCCTTGTTGAGACCGGTGTTTGGGAAGTTGAGTGTCCGATTTTAGTTCCAGACACTCGACGACCAAGTCCTGGTGCCTTTGTTCACCTGAAAAAAGATGGCTGCCATTTTCTCAGCCATTTGGCGTTCGGTAGTACGAACGCTGGCCGCACAGATAGAGGGTTCAATTGAAGCAGTCTTTGAAGTTTAACGAGCCAGGGGGTGGTCTTTGTTCAGCAGTTATATCTACCGAATGAATAGGGAAGAAATATTACACATAAAAGAGGGATTTCTTCACACCAAATGTTACAGAAGATTTCTTTCCCTGGTTAATGTTTAGTTAAATATTTCGCTGGATTGGCAGATTCCAGCTGATTATTGTCCTGGAATATCCGTCAGTGAGTGAATTATTCTGTAATGGGTTGAAACACTCCATGTGAAGGGCTGAAAACCATCCAGGCATAAACGAGTAAATTTATTTTCAAACATTTACACCAGACGCACTAAAAATCTCCAGCCATTCGCCTTCCCCGATTTCCAAGATGAGTTACGTCAAAACCCTATAGCCTGGTGATGAACAGTGCATGACAGGTTCTGCTGTGTCGTATGTCGCACTCAAAGGAAGGAAATTAATTTATTAATAAAGAATGGACTCCCTGTTTTTATTAATTCCTTTCCCTCCTATAGGAATTCTACTTATTACAGGGCTGGGCAACACTTTTCATGTCCTGCCCATCAACATGAAAAATTAAAAGATACGCCAGGCAACTCTGCTGCCCACTTACCCCCTTCCAAACCAATAGAAATGCAGCTTAACTAACATCGCCGTCACTGTTTGTGTAATTTACCGCCATGTCCGTACTCTCAATCAGGGGGACACTGCAGTCTGGAGAGTGGCGGTCAATGGGGCACTGCCGTGTGATTAATTACACAGCGCTAAACATTTATCTTCCTGACTGTGAATAGTTTTATGGGATCTATTGAATACGCTAGGGATGTATAAACTTAATATCAAACCATCATAAACTGAATTACTAAACTGAGACTAAAACAGCCGGACTGTGACGATATGCAGAATCTTCCTGTTTCACGGATTTACAAATTACACTTTTTTTAAATGTGTTTTTTAGGTGGTTATAGTGCATTATTTAGTGAATAATCCCCCCAGTCTAGCAGCACCCCCCACATCATAGCCCTGGATCTATCTGCAGGAAAGATACAGAATGTACGGGGATGAGCTGAATTACAAAAATAGCCAAACATATAGAAATGTTGGGAAATAATCTCGAATGGTGAATTGTTTAAAGCCGGCTATTTTGTCCTACATTTTCACCCCAGTTCACTGTTTACTCATAGGAAACCTGTGTTTTACAGCAGAGGTGCTTCTGGGAACAAATCAGGTTTTGTACACCTAGTATAAGAGTCATGTGTTAATGCAGGGGATTTGGCTTGGTTTGTACTGCCCATCTCCTCCCATGCAGTAAAAAGGCTTTATTTCCCTGTGATATGCATCCCTTGGCCGCTTTGATGGCAGTGTAAATATTGCTGAGCTCTGCGTTTCCTCGCCCATGACGCAGCACAGCAGATCATTCTGGGATGGCCTGCATTGATAGCATCATTATGTATGGAAACGGTGAGCTCCCTGGAGAACAAGGACACGTGCAAAAATTACTAATGACATCTCTTCTTTCTGTCCTAGAATAAAATTGTGGATCAGTGTGAGAGACTGCAACTACAAACTGCTGGGATTGAGAAATACCTCGCAGACACCCTTCCAGCCAAGACCCCACGCGTGGCGGTAATCTCCTTTTCTAGTATTACAAATATCAGACATTGTTCACATAAAATCTAATCCTCTGGGTTCCAACAGATAGGGAGGGATATATTCCCCGACTTGGCATGTGCTAAATTCTGGATTGATGGATCTAGAATCAAAACAGCTTTCCAGAAAGCAGAGGTTGAGTAAGTGATCTAGAACAGTACTTAGCTATGCTTTCATTCCATCGACAGTCTATATTTTTACCAAATCTAAGGTTGAACATTTGGAGAATCACGGTATTACTTTTAGACTTGTGTGAAACGCACTCATTTAGAACAGGAGAGGCAGTGCTCTAGAACAGAAAGAGACTCCCAAGACTTGACAATTGGCCAGAATCTTCATGGTGTCTCACAATTACTAGATGTGCATTCACTCACTTGTCTTCGCCTTCTAGTCTAGTGAACACTAGATATTCTTCTAATGATCTTGCAAAACTGGGTGGATACTTAGGGAGTACATCTTCAATAATAAGCACATTTCTCCTACTCTGGCCACTCTTTTCCGAATCCTTATGACACAAAGTAGGAAATCATGTTCTGTGTAGGTCACAGACATTTGAAGGAGTTAACTAAAATGCAATATATCTAAATTCATTCAGCAACACCAACTCAATAGAGTATCTAGATACGAGAAATAATCAATTTAGGAACAAACTATGATCAAAGAGTTGAAAAGTAAATAGATTATCTCCCATTTGCAGAGCACAGCGAGAACAGCCAGGGAACTGGTGATCCAGAGACTCACATTCATCAGGAACGTGTGTGATAATGAAGAGCAGAGACTTCTGGAAGAGGTCCACGTGGAGGAGGAACGAGCCCAACAAGGAATCCTCACACAAAGGGCCCACTGGACCGAGGCTGCCCGCAAACTGTCTGGAATTAGGACATATCTAGTGGACATGCTGACTAAGCTGGACGACCTTAATCTTATCGTGAGTACGGATCCAACGCTGAGTCTAGAGCTGATAATTAGGATCTAGAATCTATATTAAATTTACCCCCAAAAATTCCTAATTCTGTTAGTTATAAAATGGCGACATATTCTAGAGCCATTCTAGATACCCGTGTACATCAGGAATACTGAACAAGACATGCAGAACTTTGTGCTGTTTAATGGTTAGGGAGCCAAGTGAGCTGCAGGCCATATAGTAACAGATGTCTGTTTGCTTTACAGAACTCAGAGAATGAAATGGACGAGAGGTCAGTAACTTCAGTAACTCATAATTCTACATCTTAATTCTTCTCACAGGAGTTACTAATACAATGGTTTACTGTACTTCTATAGAAGTGAGCTAGATTCAGGCTCAGTGAATCTGTATTTGAGCGCTGGATTCAGGGTCAGTCAATCTGTATTAGAGCGCTAGATTCTGGCTCAGGGATTCTGTATTAGAGCGTTAGATTCAGACTCAGTGAATCTGTATTAGAGCGCTAGATTCAGGCTCAGTGAATCTGTATTAGAGCGCTAGATTCAGGCTCAGTGAATCTGTATTAGAGCGCTAGATTCAGGCTCAGTGATTCTGTAATAGAGAGCTAGATTCAGGCTCGGTCACTGTCTTAGAGAGCAAGATCCAGGCTCAGTCATTAAGTAGTAGAGAGACAGATTCAGGCTCAGTCATTCCGTATTAGAGAGCTCGATGCAGGCTCAGTGATTCTGTAATAGAGAGCGCTAGATCCAGGCTCAGTGATTCTGTATTAGTGAGCTAGATTCAGGCTCAGTGATTCTGTAATAGAGAGCGCTAGATCCAGGCTCAGTGATTCTGTATTAGAGAGCTAGATCCAGGCTCAGTCATTCTGTATTAGAGTGCTAGATTCAGAGTCAGTCAATCTGTATTAGAGCGCTAGATTCAGGCTCAGTGATTCTGTATTAGAGAGCAAGATTCAGGGTCAGTCATTCTGTATTAGAGCGCTAGATCCAGGCCCAATGATTCTGTAATAGAGTGCTAGATTCAGGCTTGGTCATTCTGTGTTAGAGCGCTAGATTCCAGCACAGTGATTCTCTATTAGAGCGCTAGATTCCGGCTCAGTCATTCTGTATGATATTACAGATCTATCAGTAATTATATTATCCTATAACACTGACTAAGAAATAGAATTTTGTTCTGCAGTCTCGATACATAAATGCCTATAATTGTGCTCGCAGTCCATTCCTACATAAAACGTTGTTCTCCCTTTCAGGACGGAGGAAGCGGAAGGAATCTTGGAACCTGAAGAGTCTGACAAGTTAAACTTTAACCCGAGCTGTGTGCAGAGTCCATTGCTGAACAGATTGTGGGCTTCCTCTATGCTGTGCTGCAGCACGGGTCAGTACCAGGCACTGCTGCACGGGCATCTTCAAGGTCCCGGGATGTAAATGGAAAATGTTTATCTGTGCCGGGGGAAACAGATTGTTTCTCAGTGTCCTGAAAGGGTTCATTGCATAGTGGCTACAGCGCATACGCTCTGAGTGTGGAAGGGCCAGTAGGGAACACATTAAAGATAATACCCCCATTTCAGTGTTTTCTATAGATATTGAATTAAGGAGACAAGGTGCCTCCTTACACCATAACCTTATAGCTGCAGTTATAATACACTGTGTGCAGGGAGACAGGGGACCTCCTTACACCATAACCTTATAGCTGCAGTTATAATACACTGTGTGCGGGGAGACAGGGGACCTCCTTACACTATAACATTATAGCTGCAGTTATAATACACTGTGTGCTGGACAACAGGGGACCTCCTTACACCATAACCTTATAGCTGCAGTTATAATACACTGTGCTGTGAGACAGGGAACCTCCTTACACCATAACCTTATAGCTGCTGTTATAATACACTGTGTACGGGGAGACAGGAGACCTCCTTACACCATAACCTTATAGCTGCAGTTATAATACACTGTGTGCGGGGAGACAGGGGACATCCTTACACCATAACCTTATAGCTGCGGTTATAATACACTGTGGGCGGGGAGACAGGGGGCCTCCTTACACCATAACCTTATAGCTGCAGTTATAATACACTGTGTGCGGGGAGACAGGGGGCCTCCTTACACCATAACCTTATAGCTGCAGTTATAATACACTGTGTGCTGGGAGACAGGGGACCTCCTTACACCATAACCTTATAGCTGCAGTTATAATACACTGTGTGGGGGAGATAGGGGAAACTCCTTACATCATAACCTTATAGCTGCTGTTATAATACACTGTGTGCATGGAGACAGGGGACCTCCTTACACCATAACCTTATAGCTGCAGTTATAATACACTGTGTGCGGGCAGACAGGGGACCTCCTTACACCATAACCTTATAGCTGCAGTTATAATACACTGTGTGCGGGGAGACAGAGGACCTCCTTACACCATAACCTTATAGCTGCAGTTATAATACACTGTCTACGGGAAGACAGGGGACCTCCTTACACCATAACTTTATAGCTGCAGTTATAATACACTGTCTGCGGGGAGACAGGGGATCTCCTTACACCATAACCTTATAGCTGCAGTTATAATACACTGTGTGCGGGGAGACACAGGGGACCTCCTTACACCATAACCTTATAGCTGCAGTTATAATACACTGTGTGGGGGAGATAGGGGAAACTCCTTACATCATAACCTTATAGCTGCAGTTATAATACACTGTGTGCGGGGAGACAGGGGACCTCCTTACACCATAACCTTATAGCTGCAGTTATAATACACTGTGTGCAGGGAGACAGGGGACCTCCTTACACCATAACCTTATAGCTTCTGTTATAATACACTATGTGTGGGGAGACAGGGGGCCTCCTTACACCATCACCTTATAGCTGCAGTTATTATACACCTTGTGTGCTGGAAAACAGGGGACCTCCTTACACCATCACCTTATAGCTGCAGTTATTATACACCTTGTGTGCTGGGAGACAGGGGACCTCCTTACAACATAACCTTATAGCTGCAGTTATAATACACTGTGTGCAGGGAGACAGGGGACCTTCTTACACCATAACCTTATAGCTGCAGTTATAATACACTGTGTGCAGGGAGACAGGGGACCTCCTTACACCATAACCTTATAGTTGCAGTTATAATACACTGTGTGCAGGGAGACAGGGGACCTCCTTACACCATAACCTTATAGCTGCAGTTATCATATAATCAGGTTTATTTATAAAGGCCTTGATTTAATTAGCTTTCCAAATTATATTTCTACTGAAGTCACCATTAAAGTCTATGGGAATTCTTGTAGATAAATCATTTGGACATTTTATTTTTACCGTACTGAATCATTTGGAACGTTTATTAAACTGAGGCTAAAGTCTGAATGGCAAAACAGATTAAAAACAGCCAAACTGGTATTATAGCTAACAATTTTTATAAATCCATTATTTGTTCCATAATTTTGTCATTCAGATTAATTTGGTAAGTCAACCCAGGGATCTCTCTGACCCATAAACTGAGCACAGAGCTGAGTGCTCGAAGTGTCCCTTTAACATTGTTTTAGTTATTGGCTGTATTGTGTAAATAGTATTTGTTTGAGGGACATTTAATTCTATTGCAAAATATGCTTATAAAGCAATATAATAGATGCTAAAATCGACCTTTAAGGGACACTGTAGTCACCAAAACAATTTTAGCTTAATGAAGCAGTGTTGGTGTATAGGTCATGCCCCTGCAGTTTCACAGCTCAATTCTCTGCCATTTAGTAGTTGAATCATTTTATTAATACAGATCTAGTCACACCTCAATGCATGTGACTTAGAGAGCCTTCCTAAGCACTTCCTGTAAAGAGTCATCTAATGTTTTCACTTCCTTTATCGCAAATTCTGTTTAATTTATAATTACTTATATCCTGCTCTGTTAATAGCTTGCTTGACCCTGGAGGAGCCTTATGTATGCAATTAAAGTTCAAATTACAGGGCAGGAAATACAAAATTCGAAAGTAAGTTACATCTAGGGCTGCATAAACAGAAATAAATGTGATTTAACTCCTAAATGGCAGTGAATTGAGCAGTGAAACTTCAGAGACATGATCTATACACAAAAACTGTTTCATTAAGCTCAGTGGCGTACACATGACCCATGGGGCCCCGGTGCGAAAATTGATCCGTGGCCCCCCCACTCCCCCCCGCGCGCGGGCCGGGCCGCGCCGCAACACATGACGGTGGGCACCTGGTCGCAGAGGTTACAGGGCTGCGACCCCTGCGACGGCGGTATGTACGCCAGTGCATGCAGATGCACACACACTTAAAGGACCACTCTAGGCACCCAGACCACTTCAGCTTAATGAAGTGGTCTGGGTGCCAGGTCCAGCTAGGGTTAACCCATTTTTTTCATAAACATAGCAGTTTCAGAGAAACTGCTATGTTTCTGAATGGGTTAAGCCTTCCCCCTATTTCCTCTAGCGGCTGTCTCATTGACAGCCGCTAGAGGGGCTTGCGTGCTTCTCACTGTGATTTTCACAGTGAGACCACGCCAGCGTCCATAGGAAAGCATTATGAATGCTTTCCTATGTGACCCGCTGAATGCGCGCGTGGTGGGCAGCTCTTGCCGCGCGTGCGCATACAGCCGACGGGGAGGAGAAGAGGAGGATCGGAGGAGGAGAGCTCTCTGCCCAGCGCTGGAAAAAGGTAAGTTTTACCCCTTTTCCCCTTTCCAGAGCCGGGGCGGGAGGGGGTCCCTGAGGGTGGGGGCACACTCAGGGCACTATAGTGCCAGGAAAACGAGTATGTTTTCCTGGCACTATAGTGGTCCTTTAAAGGACCACAACAGACACCCAGATCACATCAGCTCAATGAAGTTGTCTGGGTGTCAGGTCCCTCTAGTTTTAACCCTGCAGCTGAAAACATAGCAGATTCAGAGAAACTGCTATGTTTCACTGAGGGTTAATCCAGCCTCTAGTGGCTGTCTCACGGACAGCCGCTAGAGGAGCACACTGAACGTCCATAGGAAAGCATTGAGTAATGCTTTCCTATGGGCGGTTTGAATGCGTGCGCTGTCGCATTCGGAGCTGAGAGGCTGAGGGATCCTCAGCGCCAAGGGAGTCCGGCGCTGGAGAAAGGTAAGTGCTGAAGACACACACTTACAGACGCATACACACTAGCTAACAGACACACACATTTACTGACAGAGACACAGTCAGCGACAGACATACATACACACTCACTTACAAAACATACACTCTCATTGACAAACACACACTCACTAACAGACATCAAACAGACTCACTAACACACACACACACACACTCAGTAAGACACACACTAACAGACATCAAACAGACTCACTAACACACTCACTAGCAGACACACACACTAACACTCACTCTAACACTCACACACACTAACACTCACACTCACTAGCAGACACACACTAACACTCACACTAACTAGCAGACACACACACTCTCACTCTAACCCTCACACTAACACTCACTAGCAGACACACACTAACACTCACACACACTCAAACACTCACACACACTCAAACACTAACACACACTCAAACACTAACACTCACACATGTTTTTTTTTTTAAATTTAATCCCCCCAGCCTCCTTACCTTTTGGAGTGCTGGGGGGATTCCCTGGGGTCCAGTGGTGCTGCTGGGCTCCTGGGCTGGTGGCCGGTCGGGCAGGCAGGCGGGCGCGCGAGGGAGCACTCAGTGCTTCCTCTTCCGGCTCCGGTATCAGTGCGGTGCGCGAGGGAGCTGAAGAGGAAGCACTGAGTGCTCCCTCGCGCGCCCGCCTGCCCAACCGGCCACCCGCCCAGGAGTGTGTGTGTGACAGCAGGGCCAGTCTCGGGGGGCCCTGGGGTGGCCGCCTCCTGGGCCCCCCAGGGGAAGAGGCTGGCCCTGTGGCTACATACCGGGTCGCAGGGGCGGCCGGGCCCCCTGGTGGGCCGGGCCCGGTCGCAGCCGCGACCCCTGCGACCCTGGTATGTACGCCAGTGATTAAGCTAATGTTGTTTTGGGGACTATAAAGTATCCCTTTAACAAACCACTTTATTAGAACGTTCCCACTGTGAAGTGGCCAGTAAGTCCAAAATAAACTGCTTATAGTGAATGGTTATCTGAACTTTGACTATTCCTATCAATGCGGACCCATCAAACAGCATGCAGAGTTTTGGGTCGCAATCCAACCACAGGTTAAGACACAAGGCAACATAGCAAAGGGTAAAGACTGTGCTCTGTAGACCAAAACTGGGCAGGTTAGATGTTAGTTCATGCATGTCACCACATGATGTATGATTTGCAGAACATTAAAACTAACTTTCATCACTTACAGTTTGTGAAGAAATCACGTTTGATAAGAAGACCATCAGTCCCTTGCTGGCAGTAACTGAAGGCAACGTCCTGACATTTCTCCAAAAGAAGACCAAGAACTACCTAGATGGACCTGAACGCTTCAATCACTGGCCCAACTGTTTGGCCATCAACTCATTCCAGAATGGTATCCATGCGTGGAAGGTTAATGTGGAAAACAGCGGTGCCTACAAGCTAGGTATTGCCTATGGGTCCTTGGCTCGTAAGGGTGCAGGCAATGACACCAGGCTGGGCTACAACAGTGTTTCCTGGGTCTTTTCCCGCTATGACAAAGACTTCCGCTTCTCCCATGATTGTCAGCATCAGCCGGTGGAACTTCTCAAAAGCCCCAAACATATTGGCATATTGGTGGACCTGGAAGGAGGAGAACTGATCTTTTTTGACCCTGGATCATGCGTCATTCTTTACTCCCACCAGACAAAGTTCACTGCTCCAATCTTTCCTGCATTTGCTGTAGCTGATGAGAATATCAGTCTTGCAAAGTAGCTCAAGAAGAGAGTGTTTATATATTTATATGGACTGATTTTAATATATATCTATATAGAGATTTGCAAACCACAGTTGGGTTGACCTCGACTTGGTCTAGGTCTGGTTTAGAGCCTTGTGAAGTTTAATAGGTCAAAGCTAGCATGTCAGTTAATCGTGCCCACCACGTTTACATCTACATACCATGGACTAACATGAATAAATGTTTTAACAGTGGAATGTCTCCATAAATATTCCACCATCACTGTGTGGAACACGTAATAAGGGCATTCTAGGTCTGTTAATGGTTCTCCTCCAGTTTAAAGAGATGTTTGGTGCAATAGGTTTCAATTATAAAACTTTAGCACCTCACCAAATCTTAACTAGGTTCAGAGACCCGCCCTCCCTCCTGAGAATGTGAACCATTTCTAATGTAATATGAGGAGCTTTAACCCCTGTGACATTCTTAGTTAGGAATTATAACAATTGGTCTTTTAAGGAACATCATAGGGTACGGAACACAAACATGTATTCCTGACCCTATAGTGTTTAAAACACCATCTAGCCTGATTGGCTAACATTATCAGACGTGTTATCCAAATCCAATCACAATACTTTCCCATACAAAAGCATAGGATTGGCAGAGACTGTTAAGGAGGCAGATCAGGGGCAGAGGCAGCACAAGCCAATCAGCATCCCCTCATAGAGATACATTGTATCAATGCATCTCTCTGAGGAAAATTCAGTGTCTCCATGCAGAGGGTGGAGACACTGAATTTCAGTCCCACTGTGCAGCACTGCACCAGGAAGCACCTCTAGCAGCCATCTTTTTTAATTGCCACTTATTCCAGGCAGAAGAGCTGTATAGTGCTTTAAATCCTGAACAAATGGGACATCTGTGCCAGGATAATATTTTCAGGGACCAGACTGGGATAATGGTAAAAAAAAAAAAAAACATATATATTTAATGTTACTAAATATTTCTATAAATTTATAAAGAGGGGTATTATTATTGATCATTATTTTTTAAACAACAAATCCGATCCATGGAGGCCCCCACCTTGCAGGACTTGAAGGATCTGCTGCCAATGTCTTGGTGCCAGATACCACAGGACACATTCAGATATATTGTGGAGTTCATGCCTCGCTGCATCACAGCTGTCTGGCAGCATGGGGGGGAAACCTCATTATAATAGGTGGGTGTTTTAATGTTGTGGCTGATCAGTTTATAACAGTAATATATTACGCAGTGTTTTGAACTAGAGATCTAAAAACAACAAATAAATGATGAAAGTTAAAGTAATCAGGAATGAGTGTGGAAGTCTTTGCTCAAAGAACTCATCATCTTAATATCCGGCTCCTGCAACAAATCATTGAAAAAAGTGTGACTGTGCCCTGATAAAAGTGTTTTCTCTAAGGTAAATAGTCCTGCATGGAAAGGGTTAAGGCATTGATTCCTCCTAAGACCACGACACAGGGGGATTTTATACAAGGCCCCTGTAATACGAATATGCTAACCATACAGGTAACATAGTGGTAGTATATGGCTTGTGTATGTTAGAATATTAACACCTTCTATCGCTATATTTTATGTGACCAAAATAAATGATTAGAAATGCATTCTAATAAAATCCTAAATGATTCTGTGTGTGTTTTTATCAGCAGCCTGGTAGAGTACTGCTAATTTATAATATTAATATATATATTTTTTTAATACATTGCTAAACAGATACACACACCAGTGTTTAGCAATGCATTAACTATCCACTTACTTCAGGTGGAAGGGGTTTTCATCCACACTTTCTCTCATGATACAGTGTATGACAAAGGTTGCTACTTTGGAGAAACTGGCCTTAAGCTGCATCTCAGAATGAATCTACACAGACACTCAATCAAGAACATCAAGGAAAACGGATATTGTACCCCTGTTGGTCATCATTTCACCCAGACTGGTCACTCCATCCAAAACCTCAAGATTAAAGTTCTTCAAGGGAATTTCAAAGACTTTAATAAACATGAAGGCATTTGAGATGAAAATTATCACACATTTCAACACCATACATGAAGGACTTAAAGGATCACTATAGGGTCAGGAACACAAACACGTATTCCTGACGCTATAATAATAAACCCACCATATAGGTGGCTTGCCCCCCCCCCCTTAGCCACACACGGTGAAGCGCTGAAGAATATTTCCACTTACCCTCACTATATGGGTGAGGTATATTATCCTATAATGAAAAATACTAGGGGGGTGAATACTTTCGCAAAGCACTATATTTTTGGCTGAGATTAATGTGCACTGCCTACAAGGTTACAGGGTCACATCGGGATTTTGGGTTAATGGTTTTGTTCTCTCCTGTACTTGGTAGAAAATACCAGAATAAAAAAAAAACAAAAAAAAAAACCCAGCGCGCATTTCTTTTTAAGTATAAATAGTTTATTTCATGATGTCTTTCAGCCGTGGAATGATCTGCTCCGGGGAGTGCAGTAAATGTTCCCTCGGAATCCCGTGTTTCTCTGGTTGGGAGTCTGTCTCTGGCCGGATCAGAAAGCTGTGTATTCCTGCATCCCGGGCGGCTCTGTAATCATTCATGTAATCATCCCCTACATGAACTGCTTCATGTGGCTCCACTTTGGCCATGCTCAGGGCCTTGTGGAAGATCCCCAGGTCAGGCTTAGCAATTCCTGCTCTCTCAGAAGTCAGCACAAACTCAAAGTATGCATCTAGGTCACACTGTTTCATAACCGCATCCAACCTTCGGTCAAAGTTAGAGATCACAGCCATTTTCAGTCCCAGGTTCCTACAGCCCTCAAGAGCTTCCTTAGCTCCAGGTAACACTTCCCAGTTGCTGGCGGTGGAAAAATCTTGGTACAGCTTTTCTGCTATTGGGTGAATGGACCTATTATCTTCAACACCGGACAGACGGAAAGTCTGTGATACCACATCCAACCACCACTGCTGGGAGGTCAGGCCTTGCCTCAATCCATAGTTTGGGAAGAGCCGGGAATGTGTACTGTAAGCCAGCCGGAAAGAAGTCTCTAGCAAGGCTGGGTTAACATAAAGGCCTCTCTTCTTGGCTTCAGCGTGATATTGCTGTCCGACAGGCAAACGCATACGTAGCAAAGTGTCCTTCGCGTCCCAAGTCAAAAACTTTAATTTCATCTCAAGTCAAAAATAGTTCGTTCTGAAATAAAAAATAAATAAAAATATATATGAGTCAACAGTTAAAGGTTACATTTTTTGGAAGATCATATTTAGACTAAATCACAGTTCTCTAAATAACATTGATTACAGTGTATAAGAAAAATCAAGACAGCAAAGTGAATATAAAGCACTCGGCCATGGTTGCCTAATTACAAGTAACATTAATTAAAAGGTGCTGAGACACCCCATACGACCAGTAGCAAAGTAAATGAATAATCTGCAGCCACATCATACCTGTCAGATGTTTACAATGTACTTTTACAATTTGTGGAGAAGACTGACTGTTAAATTATAAAACGCCATAAACGGAACGATCTCGTTAAACGTATCCTGAGCCGTAAGAGTTCTTTCAAGCCATTTACTCTGCCAAACACACACTAAACTACAGGAAAGTAATAGCTAAATCGAACCCTCCGGAAGGATGGCTGGGAGTTTTGGGAAGGGTAGTGAGCCAAGATTAGCCAATAGCCACAGACCAATGAGAGATAGTGATTATAGTGTGAATTGTTGGGAATTCAAATTAACTCAGAATTACTTTGACTATTTAGACCAAAACGACCAAGGTGTAAAGAGATCACTTGGAGAATGTACACTTTATTGAATAACACCAGCTGTTTCGCTGTATAAACATTTCTGATTGCTGTGTATACAGTCATTTATACAAACTTGCATATTGTATAGGCGTACCAAAATAAACAAGGTTCTACCCAATATCTGTGATTTAGCTTTACACAATATTTAGCAGCCAAATTGTGCCGAATGTGGTTACCCAACACATCCCTTCCCTGTGCTTTTAATACGTTTTCAGGTATAATTAGAATTACACAGGATTTCCGTGTGAGAACCAGTTTATCCAGTCGCCCAGTTCAGCTGTTGGGTAATGATTGCGTCACAGTTTTAACTGAAACTTGCAATTAGCAGACAGATTATATGCTCAAGTGATTATTATTTAAAATTTTTATTTTTCATTTTGAATGTCAAACATTACAGAAAGAAGAAGGGGTTAATGCACATCAGTCATAACACGGATTCACAAATCCCTGCACGAGGTTGATATGTTCGTATATGAAGAGGGTAACAAGATTAGTATAGTGATAGGGGCACAGTTGGCACCATAGTGTTAGGATGCAGTTTGAGTTTTACTACATTGTCTCTTTTCCTCCCGTTGGAGTTTGCCATGAGTGCTATGTATGGTTGTTGGCTTCGGTACTCTGATCGTTTGAAGGGGGTCTGCCTAATGCTCTGTCCTCTATTCCACTACTCATGAGAGGTCGTTTCTTATGGGTTTTTTCCAGGTGTAGCAGTCGGGTTGTGTTTTGTTCGGGTATGGGCTCTTGGGTACGTAGGTTTTTGTTAACCGAGAATATAGTATTTTGATGGTCTAGCAGAGGGGGCCCGTAGTGCCCTGTGGGCTCGCTCGAGGAGGAGTTCTGCTGGTGGAGCCTCTGGTAGTAGGCGCAGAACGTTTTGCGTAGAGTGGAAGAAAGGGTGTCTATTTCTATGAACTCGTGTATGCCTCAAATACTGATCTTGCTGCGTCTGGAACTGTTATTTAAATCTTCCTGGATGTCCTCCAACTGGCGCATATGATCCCGGAGTTCCCGGATTGCTTACTCGTGTGCCTCGGACCGTGATATTACGTGGTCCACGTGTGCCGTCATATTGTTAGTGCGTTGCACAAGGTCGTTGAGGCCTTCTTTAATGGGGGGGCCAAGTGTTTGGCAAACTCCGATGCCATGTTCAGCTCGATATCTTTCAGGAAGGTTTGGAGGTCTTCCCTTGTGATGGGAGTAGTGGTGCTCTTAGTAACATTCTAATCTCAGTCTGTTCTGACATTTCACACGCTCTTTAATGGTCTCCCATACTTGTACAGATTTTCCCATTAAAAAATATTCCATTTGTATGTATTACACATGCAGAATCTTGTATTGGGATCCAGTGCGATCATCGAGATACAATGTGACATTGTTTAATAAATCCAAATCCAAACAATTACATTAGCCAACATGGAAACATTATTTGCAGTCACAACAAACAGATTACGGGTTATAAATAGCTGATTGGTGGACACTCCAAGACAATTTATATTGTGTGTGAAATGAATGGGACTTTACATAAAACTGTTCTAATGAGAGTATCCCTAATATACAGTGTTCTTCCCAACTACCCCCCATGCTCCCAGTATCAGCCTGTGTACCTTATACAGAGAGTATCCCTAATATACAGTGTTCATCCTAACTCCCTCCCCCTGCTCCCAGTATCAGCCTGTGTACCTTATACAGAGTATCCCTAATATACAGTGTTCTTCCTAACTCCCCTCCCCCATGCTCCCAGTATCAGCCTGTGTACCTTATACAGAGAGTATCCCTAATATACAGTGTTCTTCCTAACTCCCCTCCCCCCAGTATCAGTCTGTGTACCTTATACAGAGAGTATCCCTAATATACAGTGTTCTTCCTAACTCCCTCCCCCTGCTCCCAGTATCAGCCTGTGTACCTTATACAGAGAGTATCCCTAATATACAGTGTTCTTCCTAACTCCCTCCCCCTGCTCCCAGTATCAGCCTGTGTACCTTATACAGAGAGTATCCCTAATATACAGTGTTCATCCTAACTCCCTCCCCCTGCTCCCAGTATCAGCCTGTGTACCTTATACAGAGAGTATCCTCAATATACAGTGTCTCTTCCTAACTCCCTCCCCTGCTCCCCAGTATCAGCCTGTGTACCTTATACAGAGAGAGTATCCCTAATATACAGTGTTCTTCCTAACTCCCTCCCCCTGCTCCCAGTATCAGCCTGTGTACCTTATACAGAGAGTATCCCTAATATACAGTGCTCTTCCTAACTCCCTCCCCCTGCTCCCAGTATCAGCCTGTGTACCTTATACAGAGAGTATCCCTAATATACAGTGTTCTTCCTAACTCCCTCCCCCTGCCCCCAGTATCAGTCTGTGTACCTTATACAGAGAGTATCCCTAATATACAGTGTTCTTCCTAACTCCCTCCCCCTGCTCCCAGTATCAGTCTGTGTACCTTATACAGAGAGTATCCGTAATATACAGTGTTCTTCGTAACTCCCTCCCCCTGCTCCCAGTATCAGCCTGTGTACCTTATACAGAGAGTATCCCTAATATACAGTGTTCTTCCTAACTCCTCCCCCTGCTCCCAGTATCAGCCTGTGTACCTTATACAGAGAGTACCCCTAATATACAGTGTTCTTCCTAACTCCCTCCCCCTGCTCCCAGTATCAGCCTGTGTACCTTATACAGAGAGTATCCCTAATATACAGTGTTCTTCCTAACTCCCTCCCCCTGCTCCCAGTATCAGCCTGTGTACCTTATACAGAGAGTATCCCTAATACACAGTGTTCTTCCTAACTCCTCCCCCTGCTCCCAGTATCAGCCTGTGTACCTTATACAGAGAGTATCCCTAATATACAGTGTTCTTCCTAACTCCCTCCCCCGCTCCCAGTATCAGTCTGTGTACCTTATACAGAGAGTATCCCTAATATACAGTGTTCTTCCTAACTCCCCTCCCCCTGCTCCCAGTATCAGCCTGTGTACCTTATACAGAGAGTATCCCTAATATACAGTGTTCATCCTAACTCCCTCCCCCTGCTCCCAGTATCAGCCTGTGTACCTTATACAGAGAGTATCCCTAATATACAGTGTGTCCTTCACTAATCCCCTCCCCCTGCTCCCAGTATCAGCCTGTGTACCTTATACAGAGAGTATCCCTAATATACAGTGTTCTTCCTAACTCCTCCCCCTGCTCCCAGTATCAGCCTGTGTACCTTATACAGAGAGTATCCCTAATATACAGTGTTCTTCCTAACTCCCCTCCCCCTGCTCCCAGTATCAGCCTGTGTGCATATACAGAGAGTATCCCTAATATGCAGTGTTTTAAATCCCTAACTCCCCTCCCCCCATGCTCCCAGTATCAGCCTGTGTACCTTATACAGAGAGTATCCCTAATATACAGTGTTCTTCCTAACTCCCTCCCCCCTGCTCCCAGTATCAGCCTGTGTACCTTATACAGAGAGTACCCCTAATATAGTGTTCTTCCTAACTCCCTCCCCCCTGCTCCCAGTATCAGCCTGTGTACCTTATACAGAGAGTACCCCTAATATACAGTGTTCTTCCTAACTCCCTCCCCCTGCTCCCAGTATCAGCCTGTGTACCTTATACAGAGAGTATCCCTAATATACAGTGTTCTTCCTAACTCCCCTCCCCCTGTACTCAGTGTCACACAGACGCCATGTTGTTTCCGGTATGTTTGCGTTCCACCTGGACAGTAGCCAGCTCGTGATTGGTCGGATTTGATACTGAGGCAGCCAATGGACGGCTGGTGGTGTCAGAGATCACGTGACGCTGCTGTCAGGTGGAGGGAGGGAGGGGGGTGAGAAACAGACAGAGAGGCTGCTGGGACACAGGAGGAGCAGGCAGTGAGTGACCCCTGGGTTTATTATTATTATTATTATTATATCTCTATAGGCAGGTTTAGATATCAGGCATTTCATTATACTCTATAAGTCACTGCATAGCCCCTTATATCAGGTTATTAATCATTATATTTATACCTCATTATATATCACATGTTACATTATACACTGTATATCACTGTGTATATATATATACACAACTAGATATACACTGCTTTATGCACAATTTCTTATATACCGCTGTGTGCACAGCTGCATATACACCCTCTGTATTCACAGCTGCGTATATACCCTCTGTATACACAGCTGCATATACACCCTCTGTATATACAGCTGCATATACACCCTCTGTATACACAGCTGCATATACACCCTCTGTATTCACAGCTGCATATACACCCTCTGTATATACAGCTGCATATACACCCTCTGTATACACAGCTGCATATACACCCTCTGTATTCACAGCTGCATATAAACCCCTCTGTATACACAGCTGCATATACACCCTCTGTATACACAGCTGCATATACACCCTCTTTATTCACAGCTGCATATACATCCTCTGTATTCACAGCTGCAAATACACCCTCTGTATTCACAGCTGCATATACACCCTCTGTATTCACAGCTGCATATACACCCTCTGTATTCACAGCTGCAAATACACCCTCTGTATTCACAGCTGCAAATACACCCTCTGTATTCATAGCTGTAAATACACCCTCTGAATAGATAGCTGCATATAAACCCCTCTGTATACACAGCTGCATATACACCCTCTGTATACACAGCTGCATATACACCCTCTGTATACACAGCTGCATATACACCCTCTGTATAGACAGCTGCATATACACCCTCTGTCTTCACCGCTGCATATACACCCTCTGTCTTCACAGCTGCATATACACCCTCTGTATACACAGCTGCATATACACGCTCTGTATACACAGCTGCATATACACGCTCTGTATACACAGCTGCATATACACGCTCTGTATACACAGCTGCATATAAACCCTCTGTATTTACAGCTGCATATAAACCCTCTGTATTTACAGCTGCATATACACCCTCTGTATTTACAGCTGCATATACACCCTCTGTATTCACAGCTGCATACACCCTCTGTATTCACAGCTGCATACACCCTCTGTATTCACAGCTGCATATACACCCTCTATACACAGCTGCATATACACCCTCTATACACAGCTGCATATACACCCTCTGTATTCACAGCTGCATATACACCCTCTGTATACACAGCTGCATATACACCCTCTGTATACACAGCTGCATATACACCCTTTGTATGCACAGCTGCATATACACCCTCTGTATGCACAGCTGCATATACACCCCTCTGTATGCACAGCTGCATATAAACCCCTCTGTATTCACAGCTGCATATACACCCTCTGTATTCACAGCTGCATATACACCCTCTGTATGCACAGCTGCATATACACCCTCTGTATGCACAGCTGCATATAAACCCCTCTGTATGCACAGCTGCATATAAACCCCTCTGTATGCACAGCTGCATATACACCCTCTGTATGCACAGCTGCATATACACCCTCTGTATGCACAGCTGCATATAAACCCCTCTGTATGCACAGCTGCATATAAACCCCTCTGTATGCACAGCTGCATATAAACCCCTCTGTATGCACAGTTGCATATACACCCTCTGTATGCACAGCTGCATATACACCCTCTGTATACACAGCTGCATATACACCCTCTGTATTCACAGCTGCATATACACCCTCTGTATTCACAGCTGCATATACACCCTCTGTATAGACAGCTGCATACACCCTCTGTTTAGACAGCTGCATACACCCTCTGTATAGACAGCTGCATATACACCCTCTTTATTCACAGCTGCATATACATCCTCTGTATTCACAGCTGCAAATACACCCTCTGTATTCACAGCTGCATATACACCCTCTGTATTCACAGCTGCATATACACCCTCTGTATTCACAGCTGCAAATACACCCTCTGTATTCACAGCTGCAAATACACCCTCTGTATTCATAGCTGTAAATACACCCTCTGAATAGATAGCTGCATATAAACCCCTCTGTATACACAGCTGCATATACACCCCTCTGTTTACACAGCTGCATATACACCCTCTGTATTCACAGCTGCATATACACCCTCTGTATTCACAGCTGCATATACACCCTCTGTTTAGACAGCTGCATACACCCTCTGTATTCACAGCTGCAAATACACCCTCTGTATTCACAGCTGCATATACACCCTCTGTATTCACAGCTGCAAATACACCCTCTGTATTCACAGCTGCAAATACACCCTCTGTATTCATAGCTGCAAATACACCCTCTGAATAGATAGCTGCATATAAACCCCTCTGTATACACAGCTGCATATAAACCCCTCTGTTTACACAGCTGCATATACACCCCTCTGTATACACAGCTGCAAATACACCCTCTGTATTCACAGCTGCAAATACACCCTCTGTATTCATAG